GAAGCTTCTGTTGTGTTGAAGTGGAGAATACTCTCTTTCTTCGAAATGTTTGATTTCGCTGTATCAATGACTTTGAAAGGAGACTCTCGTGGTGCACGTTGACCAGAGTTAACGAACTATTCACAAGTCTATCTGTTTATGACTTAACGCTCTCCTTTAGACAGCCATATACGATGGTGTTCAAAGATGTATTTCGATAGAATTCGCCTTGTGTGTTGTGTGTAACCGTCATCATGGAGTAACATAAGTTGGAGGACTATTGGAAATCTGCCAGCACTGGATAGATGTCCTAGTGTGGATGAAATATTACTATACAGTGGTCATTAATGATACTTGCTTCCAGATGGATATAACGAAGTTCTAATGATTAGCCGTAACCTGTAGGGACAACCAGTCGGAAGGGAAGCGGATACCAACTGAAGACCTCAAGGGATAGTCACGGTATTTCGTGAATTGACAGGAGTTGGAAATTGTGGACCACTGAAAATTGACTCAGTGGCTGAATGGTTAAGGAGTTCGCCATGATACCTGAAGGTCATGAGTTAGATCGGTAGTCGGAGTCATGTACTATGACGAAACAGCTGTGTTTAGTGCTTCCAGGTTTTCAATGGTTTCCCAACTGATGTTAATTCGTAGTGAATAATTAGTCGTTTTTATGATTCTTGTTTGCGTATTTTAATTCCTTTCCATCTTGAGTTGTATAAAGTAACATTTAATACCGTAGTGAATCATTCTTGTTTTAAAGGTCTAACACATTTTTCTATATTATATCCATTTCGAAAGGTAATGGAAACAGTATCGACATCATCTTTCTCGTTAAATTTTCACTCAATATTAGAAGATCCGAAAAATTGTAGCGATGAATTACTGGAGAAAGATCTTGATGAAATGGTAGATAGTATTGTAGAGATTCAAAAAACTGATCCAGAAATATGCGTCAATGGAACAGAAGAAGACACTGATATGAATGTAATTTCTGAATCTGCTTTAATCAAAATAGAAGAGATATTTGAACGTACTCATGATCTTTTGAGTAAACATTATACAGATTATGATAATGTAGATCAATTTGAAGAATCATGTGATAAATATCCTTTAAAGTTAAATGAAAATGATTATGTAAGTATAGTTTTTGTTTATGAATTCTGAAATCATTTCACTTATGACTGAATTGCTAACATTATTGCATAGCTGGATCGCTCGTTCACACGCTTCAACAGCACTCCATTCATCCATACATTTATGTGTCACCCGTATTTCAGAAATAATTCCATCTTCACTGAAATCATCCCTTATTGTGCATTATGTGAATTTCTGTGCTTCCTTCCAATTGTTTATTCCACCTTTATGAATTATGGAGCATTGTGAGATGCCAGTTATTCAGCGAGTCAGTAAGTCGTCCCAGCGGACCCACTATCTCCCTGTCTGCCTGCCTGCCTGCCTGGCTGACAACATACCTGTCTGAATGCCAGCCTGCATGCCAACATGACATCCTGTTTTATTCTCCATATCTCACTGTCCATCTGTCTGTCAGCCTGTCTGTCTGTCTCTCTATATGTCTGTCTGTCTGTCTGTCTCTCCGTCTGTCTGTCCGTCTGTCTGTTAGTCAGCCTGCCTGATATCTGTCTGTCTATTTGTCTTTTTCTCTGTCGCTCTTTCATGTGGTAAAGTTGGCTGTCAGTCAGTTAACTAATTTGCTTGTTTGCGCTGATGAATTGGATCCGGGCGAAATGTTGAATAAGTAAGGAGCAGCATCAGCATTCCACAGATGTGAGTTTTGGAATAACATAGTTCTTGTTGTTTCTGGTGGTGGTGGTGAAGCTGGAGAGTGATGATGGGTCGGTGACGGAGCAGTTTGCGAGGACAGATAGACAAGGTGTCAGGAAGGCGTATTCGCAGTGATTCGGCGTTTGTGGGAGTGTATTGTGAAGAGGTTGTGTGAGACTCCTTCTGGTGTTGATTGTGTGTTGAAAAGCCTGTTTCCGCCCAGGCTCGAACTGGGGACCTTCTGTGTGTTAGACAGACGTGATGACCACTACACCACGGAAACCACACTGGGACACACCCAAACCACTTAGGCCAGCTCAACTCAAAGCAAATCACCTCAATTCACCCCGGCAATAACACTCCTCAGCACACTTCACCCACTTACCAAAAACAAACCACCACAACCCACACTAAAATAACCTGACCAAATCTCAACTATTTATTCTATAATCAATCAGTCAAACAACAACCCACCAACACCACACGCATCCACTCACCTTCCCAACACACCCACTCCAACAACACCCTACTGGAAGGTGGAAAACACAAATCCCACATCACATCACATCCCCAGCGGGCTTGCATCGTATTATTTTATCCATTACATTACAAGTCATTACAACTATGACTGAATTGCTAACATTATTGCATAGCTGGATCGCTCGTTCACACGCTTCAACATCACTCCAGTCATCCGTACCATGATCCATCCATTTATGTGTCGGTTTTATTTCGGAAATAATTGCATTCTGACTCATGTTATCCCTTACTGTGCATGATCCGAATTTCCATACAGACTATATTGTCCTGCTATGTGAGTATGTTGGCAAATTCAGTCTTCTGGATGCATTGAGCAGAAATCTGAGTATATTTGGTTGCCAACCGTTCCGCTGAGACTTGTCGTATGTAAGATGATGTTGCAGGACTAGTTTGATCTAAGTACTCCCAGTTTAATGATAGGGTGTGAAGTGGTGGAATGTGTCGGTCATTCCACTTACTTGGAGAACTGCATCAACTTAGATACGCTGGTTGCTGGCGAAATCTCAGTTTGGATATAGAAGGCTTGTTTATCATTTAGCAACTTGGATCATCTGGGAAGCCGACTGGCGAGATATCCTAGTATCTATCAAAGAACGAGTATACTGCGCTGCAGTCTGTTCTGTCCTGTTTTGTGGCTGTGAGACATTGTCGTTGAAAATGGTGGAGATGAATTGGTTACAGAGTTTCAACCATAGATCTCTTCGTTGCATTACTTGAGCGAGGTCAGGCGAATGGTACTAGAAAAGGAAGGGTGGCAAGTTGATTGATGAGGTTGTAAACCTTCATTGGCTAAGATGGCTTGGATATGTACTGCGCATACCGAGTCACCGCCTACCTTTATGTACCATGCTGAGAGAAGTTGAATTAGGTTGAAAGAGGGTTCTTGGTGGCAAGACCAAGACGTAGCAGCTGTGCATGAAGTACCTGAGAGGATATGAATCACTGGTTGAGGACTCTTGGCGATATGATTGAAAATTTATCACAAGGGTGTAAATGTATTCACTCTTTGACATCTAAAGTTTGATTATTCGCAGTAGCATATATCTCCAAATATTTTAGTCTATCATATACCTTTCTCCACTTTAATATCAATCATATTCTATCCACATGATGTTTGTATACTGCTGTGGCAACTTAAGCCAACCCATTTGTGTACGAAGTTCTACGTTGATTGAACTGTCTGGTTGATTATTATTTTATGTGAAAAATGTAGATATGTATGCTACATTAGGTATGATTAGTATATTGTTACTTATCTTAGCTGCAAGCAATTCTTTTTAGTATTCGCCTATCTGTTCTATAGATGGGCATAAGCTGGCTGCACCGATAAAAAAAACCCAAACGATCATCTGGATTCCACCAACGATGATTTATATCTAATGTCTTGTCGTACAAACTCGAAGATCTACAGGTGAAAACTGACAAGTTGACAGAAGAGACGAGACAGCAAAGATGGAACTTCATTCAGATAAACGTAGAGAAGACAGAAGTGATGTGATGCGATGTGATGAAGATACCCAGCCTTCAACAACAACAAGAAGCACCAATCACGGTCAACAGGCGGAATCTAAACGAAGTAGTCTCTTCCACTTACCTAGGCAGGCAGCATTGTTTCAACTACAGGTGGGACAGGAACAGATGAGGATGTCAAAGCCAGGATTGGAACGACAGCAAGACAGGCCTTCATTAATCTCAAATCAGTGTAGAGATCTACTCCACTCCACTCAGCATAATGTGTGGGGAAGATATGGATCTTCAACACTAATGTCAATTCAAGTCAAGTCAGTACTTCTATGTGATGGTTCATTTAGAGAATTGGCGCGTGACGAAAAGCATTTTTCCAACAAACAACTGCATACATACATCATCAACATCTATCACTCGACACTGACACTGAAGATGAGATGACGAGAATAATAAGAATAAGCAAGGAGGAACTCTGGCTGGCTGGTTGGCTGACTGGCAACCAACCAACCAACTGAGAAGGTATCGCCCAACAAAATATAGATGGATTGGGAATAGACTGAAAAGATCATTTAGGGACATCATGCGTGAGACGAGGTCGTCGAGTGGAATTCGAAGGGGGAAACGACGAGTTGGGTGTCCCAGTTGAGGGTGACATGGAGGATATCATGTGAGGAAGAAACGAAGGCTTCTGAGTAGTGGTTGATCCAGGTTGAAAGGACTGGAGAGAGGATAGTTGAATGACGACTTGCTATTGAACCCTGTGTTCCGCTAGGAACCCAAGGGATAAATTAATTATGATAATAAAAGTAATATCTGTGCTATGATTTCATTTTAAGTGTAGTATATCTCTCAGTGATTGTTTCTCGTGTGAAATTGTGTTTCGACTCTCTGTTTGCTTATTTAAGTTTCCACCTATTAGTTATCAATTCAAAACTGATTCCATCTACTCCTTTATCTCTATAGTTTACTCAAGTCATTTTACCTTTCAACTGTTTCTTTTTCACTCATTCATTGATAGATAAGAGAAATGAAAGCATCATGTGAAAGGATAAATAATCTCAATGTTGACGTTGCAAAACTTCTCTCAGCCTTTAGAAATGTAACTATCTCATCTTCAAACTCTAACAGAACAGAAGAAGTTGAACAGTATACACAGTACTTTGAAGATATTCATAGAGGAACTCAAAAATTGATGAGATTCATGTTAGCTAGTCAAAAATTATGCAATGGATTTAAGCGTATATCGAATGTAAGCATAGAATGTATTTCTATTTTGCTTAAAGGAATCGTAATGTTATGTTGGATAATATTTTGGAAATATAACTTTTCGCCCATCAATATTATCCTACCAACTGACTTTAGAGGTCCCACTTCCGACTAGATTTTTATTTCATTTCAATCGCCATGGGTTTTTTCTACCCGCATGATTGAAGTGAAATAATCTGGTGAGCGGAGGGACTTCGTAGCTCAGTTGGTAGAGCATCGGGCTGGGTACCCGATGGTCACCGGTTTGAATCCGGTGGCGGTTCAGATTATCATCTCCTCTTTAATCATTACCCAGCATAAATGATACAAGTTTGCCAAACCACGTCTATCTCACTGAGATAGTTCAAACGATAATCAGTATGATCCTTCCACTTGTCTAATTTATTTGGATTGGGATGAGAAGTCCTGACTGAGCAGCCTGTGTGAATACAATCAAGCGGACGTAATATACCATGAATTCACATGGTATTGGTCCGGTAAAACCTTTGGTGGTTGAAATAAAGCAAAAATCTGGTGAGCAGTGGGACCTCGTAGCTCATTCGGTAGAGCATCTTCCTGGAAACATGATGGTCGCTGGTTCGAATCCAGCTTCTGTTCAAATATACGATTCACCTTTAATTATCACCTACAATGAATATTAGACTTTGTACTGGGTGATGATTGAATGTAAGATGAAAATCTGAACCGCGGCCGGGTTGGAACCAGCAACCACCGGGTTCGAATCTGGCCATGGTCCAGATTTTCACCTCACCTTCAATCATCACACACTACAAATACTATTCTGCCAAACTACGTGTATCTTGGATAGTGAAATCATAAAGAATATAAGACTGTTAGAGGAAATATAGGAAATATATAAAATATCAATTGTTTCTCTCATAATTCTTTAATTATGCTAATATTGATCATGATAATAGTAATAATTGGTGACATAGTAGTAAACTCATATCCTAGGTTGTATGACAGCTAAACATCGTACCAACTGCTAAGAAAATGGCTGCTGATCGTCTCATTACTTTGGCCAGCCAGACAACCTCGGATTTCCAGATGCCAACTGACAACCACTCAAAAATAAGAGGATTAAGATATAAGCTACTTACAAGTAGTTAAATTAATAACTTCGAATAAATGTTACATGGTGTTTCCACTCTGCACATTTTGTATGTAATTATTTTGTTCAGTGCTTCATGGAACATTTCTCACATTCAGTATGCCACCCTCAACTATTAGTGAAGACAAAAAGCTTGTCTTCTGCATAGACTACCGAAATTTTGGAGGTGAATAACAACGGGGAATTACATGTATCATTACAACAACTGATACCTGTAGCACAAGAGGTGACTATCATCCCCCATTGACTTAGTCGATAACCCTATTGCGTTTGAAGTGACGGTTACTGGCTTCGAACCCTGGTGAGAACAATATCACTCCGCATTGAAATGTAAGTGCATCCAGCTAATGAATCCTAAATAGGACGAAACGCGCGTCAAAATAGATTCCTCTGGCTAGTCACCAAGATTAGTTAAAAAAATCATTTGTTTCTATCCTCGGAGTTATATTTGTGTAACTTATTTTGACTTATTTATTGTTATTATTATTATTATTATTATTATTACATTTCAATGGGTTAGTACACATCTTCACTGCCAAGTCTGTCAGAAAATCCAGCTATCCAAGGACTAAATGAAATTTTATCCTCACTTACATGTTGTCTACCTTCATCGACAACACCATCCGGGTCCACATCGTGTCTTTCTCCATTGTTATCTATTAATCAACCATTAAGTATTGTAAAAAAGTGACTTTTGTGAATAAAACTCTAATTTTTCATACTTTTTTTCTTCAATAAGTGATGTTTACGTATAGATGATTTTACTCTATGTGTGTGTGTGCGTGTTTGTACTGATGTTACTTCCTAAGTAGCAGAAACCCTCTTTGATGACGGTAATTATTATAGAAGTTCCCCTTTCTTTATCGTATTTGTAAAATGCTAGTTATTTCTTAATATTTAGTTAGCTCTGTGTGTATATGGGGGACATCACGCGTCAGGCTCTCTAGTTGAACCCCGATGGGAAGCGACGAGTTAGGTGTCCGAGACAAGGGTGACATGAAGGAGATCGTGCCGCGAGGAAATGAGAGCTTGTGGGCTGTCGTGGAGCCAGGTTCAAAAGATTTCACAGAACAGAGCGCATTGGAGACGTGCTACTGAGTACCGATGTCAGTGGCGCAGATGTATACACACATTATCCTCATCTTAACTACACTATAGCGAATCTCACCATTTTTTCACTCTTCTTTCCTTTCTTCTCGTACTTTATATTTGTTTTGACTGCATTCTCTGACCTTCATCATCCACCTTACTACCTTTCTATTTGATGTACTGACGTAAGTTGTGGCAACTCGGACCGCAGTAATGCCTGGTCCTATGTTGATAATGATTGATTGTGCTACTGAAGCCCTATGTTCCATTAGAAACCCAAAGGACAAACAACTATGTGTATATTGTCCTCTTGCACTAAAAAGAGCAAGATATAGATTAGGTGTAAAGTCTTACATGAAAGCATGGTATCTTAGGGGGAGAGGTGAGACATGTATTATTCGTCTAGGATGTTAAGATGACACTTACTAGACAAGGTTGTACAGTGCAAAAATATAACCTTAACAGTGAGAATTGGAAATGTATGTTATTAAATTTCATCTCTGTGGCTAAATGACATCTAAAGCTGTTTAATATACTCGTAGTTGTGATTGGAAGAAAGAGGAAGAAGGAGAATCATTGCGAAATCAACGTAGAACCTTGCAGAAGAGTACATCATCTCAAGTTGCTATACTTCATAGGAGTACGAAAGGAACAGGAGGATAAAAAGGGAGTGAAATAATAAACAGTGTAGTGATTAGAACAAGATGTCAATGAATGAATACATCTGCACCATTGTGATGCGTTTTTATTTCGGGGACCCCAATCAGGCAGTCTACATCTCCCCTCCCACATGGCTCAGACTAACAGTTAGAGACTTCATGGATTGGTGACACGTCTTGGTCTAGCCACCCTGAATGCTTTTCCATCCCAATCCAACTTCCCCTAGCATAACACGTAGAGGTAAATGTTGGCTTGGCAATGTATAGTACATGTTCAAGCCATCTCAGTCGACTAAGATTAACAACCTCATCAACTGACTTGACAGCGTCTCTTCCCCAGTACATTTCACCTGACTTTAACATTGTTCACACAGTGATTTCACTAAACGTGAGCAATGCTACAAAGGTACCTATGATCGAAAGACAGCAATCGTTTCATGCCTCTTAATTTTAATCGCCGAATCTCGTAGACAGCATACTTATTGAGATATGAGACCTTATTATCATCTTTAATGTTATTATAATTGTCCGCTAAATCATGGTGGCTAGCAGAAGAGTTCAGGTCGAGCACTTCGTTTTATTTGGGACTCATCAGTTGGATTCACCTACACTTCAGTGAAGAGTGATGTTGTTCCCACTGAGACTCTAATCCCGTACCCATCGCTTCAAACGCAAAAGTGTTATCCACTAGACAATCCGACACAATAGTATATCAACAAATGCAAGTTTGTGGTCATTTTCTTCTTTAGATGTCAGGCTGATATGATCTAGTTAGAGTATTAAGCCTTTTTAACAACTCTCTGGCATCTTCATCTGTGTTACATATTACAACATACCGTCTATAGAATGTGATATTACTGATTAAATCCTGAGTTATTAGTTCAATCTGTCACATATATACATCAGTTAATAACAGTCCATAATGGACTCCTCATAGCAACACCAGGCATGGTTGGGTGAACATATACGCGAATGGCTTGAAAAACAGTTTAATACACAAACTTTGATAAGTCCAGTTGACAGACATCAGTCGTTATCTATAGAAAAACATCTTCATCGAAATGAATCATAAGGTGAATACCAAAACAGTATTCAAGATATTATATATTGTGTAACAATCAGGGGGTGTATACTGGAATTTATCGAAGCGTTAACCATTCGTGAACTTAAACCGCTGTGGTGGTGTTCACAAAGACAATTTGTTGTTTCACTTAATTTCCCTTGATAGTCTGATTATATTACCATGACGAGTATGATAACCTTTTCATTTCCATGTATAAATTGATGACTTGACAAGTGAATTTGTGTATGTGTGTGTGTGATCAGATTGTTCGAAATGTTGTATTGCTCAAATACACCACACAGTTTGTTCAGATAATCTTAATCTTCTAATAAGGTTGGCGAAATTTATTACACGGACTACTTATGATAATTTGGTCGGTTATGGCTAACGGAGGAATCAAGGACACGCATTTCATCCTATTTGGGACTCGTTAGCTGGATGTTACCCGCACCTCAGTGATGTTGTTCCCACTGAGACTCGAACCTCGTATCCATCGTTCCAAACGCCAAGGCGCTTTCTACTACGCCACGGAGGAACGATAACCATTACTTGTACAACAGATAGTAATTATTACTATTTATTGACATAGTTGTTATCCTCCATTGTTTTGTTGTGTTGGATCGAATTGTTCGACCTCTATTGACACATGGGTTCCTATGCAGATGCCTCGATATTGCCTGAATATTAATTATGATAAATTGGAGGAAACGCGCATCCTGGATTCTTCTGCTAACCACAACCAAGCAAATTATCATAATTAACATTCAGTCAATATCAAGGCAATTCGATCCAATAGAACAACGGAGAATAACAAGTATGTCAATAAATAGTAAAGGGATTTTCTGCACACAATACACAAGCTAAAATTAAGTTTCATGGTTGGATTTTTGTATGCATAGTTGTGAGAGTCCAGGTACTTATCCACGATCGCATTTATCAGGATAATTAGTAATGCACCACTTGCTCTGTTAGCAGCTTAGAAAATCCTATGGAATACAGCGTGCATAGTCATTTATTTAGAAGCGAGGGAAGAATAAGTAAGTATAGGCAGAACATAGGAA